CGATGTGTAAAAAACCCAGCCGATGTGAAATAACCCGACCAGGGTATTTGCCACGTATTACAAGAAAAAATACAGAGGAAATTGACTATGAACAAGGTGGGATCGTTTTTCGTGGCTGCACTAGCATCAACTCTGCTGCTTGCTGGTAGCTGCGTTCAGCTGCTGGAATCCAGTGCCCGAAATGACTGTGGTGCAGCAAAGAGCGACACTCAGGATACTCACCAGCGAAACCAGGGCCTTTCAACGACCCTTCTCGCCAAGATGTTGGAACTTACTGCAGAAGAAGGTTGGTGTATACAAGCTGGAGGACTGGGAAATTCAACAGCTTAGAATGCTACCTTTTTGCCAAGACTGGGGTCGTGGCGGCAGTGCTCGAGTACTTCCAGGACTCTGGAGTGTACCCCGCATGTCTGCGCATGTGAGCTGCATATTGGCTGTGAACATGTCGTGACTTCTCCTTCCTAGTTCATGATCTCCACTGTACACAAGATCAGGGAATCAAGATTGGCCGGTCCAACCTCGCACTTGAGAGCCATTCAAACATGCCCGTGTCGTCGCCGCCGAGAGCGAACGCCTGCTAATCTGCTGAAGGTTCTCTGCACATACGAAGATTCAGGGGCGGCTTTCTGCGGCACTTGTATGCAAACTTGCGCAACACTGTGACACTGTCACCATGCCTACACTGCTCGAATGCCAAATGCCCGTCACTGCTGATGCGTGCCTCGACCATTATCCGGTAAACCACATCTTCGGGCTCCAGTTGAGCGGAGGTGGCAAGAAAACGCCTTGGAGAATTCTACCGCATGGTTTTGTCCATTCCGAGCTGCAGCGTTGACAAATATCGGATGGCTGGTCAAGAGTTGAAAAAGTGCATTATAGTGCATAGCCAAGGCCAGCACTCGAATACCATCCGTACCTGCGCGTGCCAGGTGATGACTCAGTCCTCGACTTTGAGGCTGCGGCCTCGTGGTACGGCACCAGATTGCGATCCGCGGCAGCCAGGGCCTGCAGCATCACCCACCCCACGTAGTGCAACCTGGATGCATGACATTCGCTGCACATTGGCCTGCATTAGCCGCTGAAGCTGGCCAAGCTCTGCAGCTCGGCCCATATTAGGCCCTGCCGGTTGTGGGATGACATTGGAAAAGCATGCTATGCATGCTCTATGATCTTCCAGCAAGGCGCGATGCTTGAGGAAGCTCTGCAGGTGCCTCCACAGATGCACAAAAGGCACTGCAGCAGCTATGATCAGACAACACCATGCCAAACAGACATGCTACGGGCTTCGCATCAGTTGCGGAGCCCTTTGCGGGCCTGCGGCCCTGCTGCACTGAAGGCAGGCTATGCTGCTTCATAAGCACAGAAGCGGCAACAACGTGCCTAAGACCACAGGCTGCAAGCTCGAAAGTATGATGCTAGAAGCTAGTCTCTCTAAGTTCAGGTGACTCATGCAGTTGTGCTTGGCTGTGCTTGGGGCGGGCTTCCGGCTTGGTCTGCATCTGATTCCATTCGCGTCCAGAACCTCCAAGTTTTCGTTTCCGTGGTGCTCAAGGCCTTGAAGCTACTACACCGTTGCAAAGTACCTCAGCCACCAATCCACGGCCGAAGTCTGGCCAGCAACCACGTAGGCCTCAGCACTTGCGCACGTCTTACGCATGTGTGCAAGACAAACGAAATCAGGTACTGCGTGAAAGCTTCTGTCAGCTGTTGGATCATTATGAAAAGCAATCTGGCCTGCATGACTTGCTGCAAGACCTCCTCGTTCCTAGATGCAGGATCTGTCCTGCACTGGACACTATGGACACCGCTGCCAAAGAGTGTGCACTCCCGGTAAAGGCCTGCTAGGCTTGTAAGCCTTCAGAAGAGTGTTCCTTGGTCACAAGGCTGAGAACTTGAGAACTCATGCTGAAATGCCTCTCGTGCTGCACTTTGCTCCAAAACTGCAAGCGGAGCTATCAGAATATGCAATTCTGAACAGAGCACGGTCACGGCACAATTGCATCCGCTGGAACGCAACAAAATGCTGGGGATCTGAGCCAGAGCAACGTGGGGGTTAGACCGGCTGTGGAAAGCGCAGGATCGACCTGCATTGAGCTAATCATCGCAGTCTGAACTTTTGGACACCAAAAACCCTGCGCTGTACTTTTTTGCGAGCCGGGAATTCTTGTTCCCTGGCCGCTGGGAGTCGTGTCCGGCTTACACCCCACTTGCGAGCCTCCACGATTCTTCGAAGCAGCTCCAAGGCCATGTTCTGCTTCTCATCCTGAATGGCTTCACCGTGACTCTCGATGAGGTTTCTCTGTTTTAAGCGAACTTCCGCAAATGGACTGCTCTCGATTCTACACATGTTGTATTCAAACCAGGACCCAGGCTGATGCAGCCAGGTCGAACTGTCCGAAGAGGCGCAACACCTCCACGATACATGGAGACACGTGAAGGGCGAGTTTTGACCTTTCGTGAGGGGGTGGGCCGTCCAAGGAAGAGAAAGGTGCAAAAAGCAGCATGAGGCTAGTGCGTGATTTACCTTTAAGTTTCGATTCTGGTGCTGGTTCTGCAACTGGCAGAAACCTCGAGCAGGTTAACTTGTGGATCCAGGTCACGACTGGCACAAGCTCTTTTAAACTCAATAGCCACCATTGCTATTACCGCTGCCGCCGCTGCTGCTACTGCTGAGCCAACGTCTGCCTCGATCATGCGCGAGTAAAATGACTAGAGCCACTCCTCTGCCTCCTGCTGTGCCTCCTCACCCTACGGCCAAAAGTTTTGGTTTGCCCGCGCCCCCAAGACACAGACTATGTCACAAAGCTCAAAATCCTCCGCCCTGTCAGTGTTTTCTACATCTACAACGCTGATTATCCCAACAACATCCGCGGAACCATTTTATAAAATTAAGTCGCAATCGTCGACCTCTTGTACTTCTGGGGGCGTGGAAACCATAAGCTAGTAATCCCGGGACCCCTGTGTGCGGTCCATCGTTTACACTCCTTCCAGAGGCGTCCAACCTTCTTCCTAAAAGCACCTAAGCCCTCAATAACACCCTATAAGCCCTAAAAGCCTACAAAGCCCTAAACATCCCTAAGCCCCAAAATCCCAAAGCCCTCAAATCCATAAGCCCTAAAGCCCCTAAACCCTAAACACAACTACACCCTAAGAACCCCTAAACCCTTTAAAAAAAAACATAGGACCTAAACAACCCTAAACCCGAATGAAACCCTAAACCGCAAGAGCCCCTAAACCCTAAAAAAGCCTCAACCCTGAAACGCCCCTAAACCCTCAAAATCCCTAAGCCCTGAAAAAACCCGAAGCCCTAAACTAAACCCTAACAAAACTAAGCCCTAAATACTCCTAAACCCGAAAAAGTTCTAGCCCCTGAAGAACCCTAAGCTCTAAACGCCGAAACCCTTGAGACCCTAAAACCTAAAAAAACCTGCCTAAACCTTACAAAGTTCTAGCCCCTAAAGAACCCTAAGCCCTAAACACCTAAACTCTAAAACCTTAAATACTGAAAATGCTTACCCCTAAACCTCTAAACCTTAACCTGTGGGCGAACCAAGACATTTGAGGGTCACCCTACGAATGCTACTAACCGCGATAGCCGCCACGACCAAAGCAATTGCCACTGCCAATGCTACAGCTGCTGACGGCACTTAATTGCGAAGTTCCGGTAATTGATGTACTTACGTGTGGCCTCGCCCTTCTGCTGCATTTCTGGTGCCTCAATCAGACATGAACGTACACCTCAGCAAATCCACATGCTCTGCACCTTACGAGTGCTGAGATAGGTGCTGATCCTGCCTTGCGCAGGGCACCAGGATTCCTGTCAGAACCCCGTTGTGCCAATGAGGGGCGAAGACCCTGTGTCCAATCGGAAGGAGTGGTAACCACAAACATAATGCTGGATGGGCTTTGCAAGATGGTCAAACTGAAGCGCAAAAGTTGCTGTGACAGATTATGAACACCAACGTCGGTTCTCCCACTCCGCAAGACTCGGCGTAAGAAGCACTACTGGAAATATACCACTCGTGTCCGCTAGTGAGTGTCAGGATCGCGGGTAGCAGGCATCACTTGCGTTGAAATGGGGGACGACCGGTGCGCAAGGCAGGAGCAGGCAGGCTCTGGGCAATCGTGCAGCATGCCCTGAAGGTATAGCTCTTGTTTTTTAACGTAGAGCGCATGAGCATGGGAGGCAGGGTGGCGAGACCCGCAAGCATGAAACTGATTTCGCAACTCGCTGAAGGCTAATCCGAACCGGTGCGGCTGCGGTTAGACCGGCCCTCCTGAATGGCCGGCTTCAGGATCACCAGGACACCCCCCAAAACCTCCCTTTGGTGGGCTAGCCGGAAACGCAGCCAAATTTGAGCGCCTCTTGGAGTTTCTCTCGTTAGGACAGGTCAGCATGGCTGGGCTCAAGACGAAAGCTTCTACAGAGGAAGTTTTCGTAAAATGGCAGTGCCCACAAGGACGATTGACATGGAAAAAGCTGTTTGGAAGGAAGGGCATGCGGTGCAGGTCCAATAATATGCATGGCAAATGCGCTCCTCCGCAGGAGCTGGAAGCTGGACTCTCCGTTAACCTGCCAGAATCACGACAACACATTTAAGTAGCTCTGCGGTGACCACTCGAGGTATACTTAGGTGCAGCCGTCAATCTGCAGGTCTTGCACTGCACTGCCTTTAGTTCATTGACGTTTGCTCGCTGTCTGTGGTGTGCTCTCTCCTTCTTGCCTGTGTTCTTGCCGCTTCTTCTTTCTGTTTCATGTGGCTTGTGGGTACCTCATTCCCGCACTCCTCTTGGGACAGCCCATCCTGCGAACGGAGGAGGGCCCTTTCGAACCCTCTACTAGTCCCAACAACATCCTACAGCTGTTTTTTCAAGTCACTGCATTTGCGGCTTGGTCTGTCCGCACTTTGCGAGGCTTGCCAGGGACTCGAATCCTATCTGGGTGCACTCTCTCTTCCACCGTGCCATCGTCTTCATAGCAAACGTTGACAAAGTTGTCGTCGAAAACAGAAACCACGAAGGCCGGCATCCAAGTCACTCCATCCAAACCCCCAGCACTACCGTCGTCAGGGTCCCCAAGATCCGGGAAGGGAAGCCACGAATAGCCAACCAAAATTCTGTCGCCTGCTTTCCACGGATATTGCGAAAGGACAGGGTCAGCCAAAACCTCGTCGGTGTAGCGCAGTCGTCGAGCACGCGAGGGACAACCAGTGACATCTATCTGGATCGCGCCTTCGCATCTTGTCTTTTCTGCTTCGACCCATGCAACTGCAGCATCTGCAGCTGTGCCTGCCATCTCGTAGAAAGCAAAGCCATGGCCCATGGGCTTCCACGATGCCGCAAGGCAAATACCTCCACGGCCGTCGCCCAGGCGATCCGTACCAGACGCGTCGACAGGCGCGAGGCGACAATCCTCAACTAAACCATGGAGAGCGGAGTAACTGACGACACGGCAGCCCCTCCGGCAGCTTTGGAGCCGCTTGCTGGCCTGACGCTGGACCTCCAGCGGGAGGCAGACCTCCATAACAACAGCAGAGGCCTTCTGCATCATGTCTTCTGGTGTATCCAGCAAGGAGGCACAACGAAACTCACAACGTACGTTATGTTGGCGGTCCAGCAGCTCTGAGGCTTCATCTCCGCGGTCCTGCCCAGTCAATGGCAAAGCTCTTTTGCACATCTCAAGTCTGTTTCATCCGCTGGTCCTGGACCTGAAAGCGCTCGCTGGTCTGTGCCAGCTTGTGAAGTGCTGCAGCAGCGAGGGCGTAGCGGCTCGGTGCAAGCTCCAGCCCGAGCACGTCAACTGAGCAGCAGTGCAGCAAAGATAAGTCCAGCGGATGGAGCTAGGCTTCTAGGCGATTCTAGGCTTGCAAATCTTGGGACTGGAGCGTAATCTTCAGTCAAGCGGCCGCGCAGCATCAGAAAGATCTGCAACGCGACCTTGCCCGTGCCCATACCAAGCTCCAAGATTGGACCACTGAGTTGCTCCTGTTGGAATCATAAACTGGTAAACAGCACACCCCCTGCGTCTCGTCTGACTTGCGAACGCCTGTCGCGTTTTGCCACAGGCTGGCTGAAGAGATATTTGCACAGCCACTTGTACGACGCAAGCTTCTCCTTTCTCGCGCAGAAGGCAAGTACCAGCTGCTCCACGCCTGCGAAACAAAAAGTGGTGCTTGCCGTGCCGTGCCGTGCAACGCAAGAGGCTTCAAACAGCACAAGTATCCCAAGTGCGCCTTCAGGAAGCAGCTCTCCTAGGCACATCATAATGTTTAAGTTATGTTTTGGAAAACTTCTGTCATGGAGCTTAGAATGCTGGGCCCTGTTCAAGCCAAAGTGGTGTCCATGCCACTGCAACCGGAGTGCCGTATAGCAGGCTGCTGCCACGCCCTTGCCTCTGATAAGCACGTTCACACAACAGGGGAATACTGAAGAATCCACAGCCCTCTGGCAGGCAAGCTGCGCAACTACGCTGGCCACGTCTGCACTTCCAACTGCCTGGCAGGACAACGCGGGCCAGAAAAACGAATAGGTGAAATCAGATGAAAGCGGGGTCGGCGATTTCTAGCGGCGAGTCAAGCCTGGTGGCCAGCCAAATCGTGACCTCCGCTGCGTCAAGCAAGTCTGAGCTCACGTTTGTTGCTGCGTTTCTCGAGGCAGGCGTGTTGTGCACAATGAGCCACCTGTCTTGCCCCACTCATCCCCATAAGCTGCTCGGAGTAGCTCCTGTCAGTCTTTTGTGCTTCGTGCACCCTTTGAAGGTATGACGAACGAGCGAGAATGACAGCCATGCATTACCATAAACTCCCACAAGAACCAATCCAGATCCAGACATGGCCTAGCAGATGCATGAAGTTGTGAGGATGAGATTACTTGCTACACTCGCGCATTTTGAGGACTGAAGGACTTGCCATGGCATTGAGGGGCTGGAATCTTGTGCATTGCAAGCTGGTTCACTCTTTCGGCCAAATGGTTCTCACACCGCCAGAGACCGCAAACCTCTCCTGCGAAGCCTCGTCCATGCTGCGCTCCAGATCACGATGGCTTCTATGTATTCATTGCAACTAAGCGCGTTTTTGTCGAGTGTGAGAGATTCCCCAGGGTAGAACCCAACCAACACGTAAACATCACATGGGAAATCTCATGTTGCTATAGTCATCGGGGAAGCCATTGCAGAAGCTAGGCTAATGATCATCATACCTCATGAGTCATACTGTAATAGTAATGCTAGTACCAGTTCAAGTGCACAAAGCAAAGCATGGGCTATGAGGACAGGCTTTCGTTCCAGGTTCACGTGCATCAAGTACCGCTCAGATGGTGATGACCTTGCAAAGATTTTCATAATTCGCTGAGTCTGCTTCGAGCACCAACAAATCGATACGAGTACCTGACCAGACTAGAACGGACTCTCCAACATCGTCAACGTACCTTCATGAATATCAGCCGTCATCATCGCTCTCAGAATGCAGCTGCTGCAACCCCCCCGCAAAAAGCAGGTGGAGGCTGTGGCAGCCCTTGCACCGTGGGAAAGTCAAAGCCATGTGTAGCATTAATACTTTTTGCCGAAAAGTGCACTAGTGAAACGGAACGTGGAAAAGTGCACGGCCAGTCTTTGGCTGGTGCGGCTGCTGTCGCATCTTGGATGCTCAGCCTAAAGAGATTCGACCTACGTGACCACCCAGAATGCAATGTGGTGAGTGCCAACCGCACGAAGTGCACCACAGAAGCCCTTTGAAATGCAGCGTGTAAAGCTAAGCCGTCGAGCCAGGAATAACATGTGAAGGGGAGCTTTTGTGCGCCAGAAACAACTTGAAGCCTGCCACGCAGCATCTTGTGATTGTACATACAACCCTCACACTAGTGCATGATGTGTCTCTGAAACTCTTAAACTCCGAAACCGGTGCGACCTTTGAATGGTCGTAGCACGTACATTCCGAGTGGCGTCACACGCTTGCCGCTATGTACACTTTGCGGTCACGATCGTTTCGCCAGCCCCGTGGGACGGCCAAACTCACCCCCAGCCTCCTTCAAGGACTCTGTGAGACGAAATCCTGATGGATTCTGACAAGTGCATGGTCTTGGCATCTCATGCATCTCAATCCAACCAAGCTGCCACTGCTTCGTCCTTCGGTTGAGTTGCGCTTGGGATCCACGACATGTCCTTCATTGTGTTCTTACAGGTCTAGGTCCTAGCACGTGCCCTCATAGTCATGCTGGCAGACTTCCGATGCTCTCGCATGCACGAAACTGCACGAATGCATGCAAGGCATGCCGCAACATGCTTGGAAAGGCCTCGCTCTGAGAAGTCTGCGCTGCCCGGAGGGCTCTGCAGCGTCATCTGCCCCTGCCAAGATGCTGCCCGGCTGCCCGGCTGCCCGCTAAAGAATTGCCCTCGCCCCGTCAAGCAACCTCAAGAATGGGAGCTGGTGGCCTCCTGCAAGGTCCTCCCAGCTCCAGCTGTTGAAGTCCTGAAGACTTTTTCTGGTAGATAAGCAATGCTTCCGGCTTCTCGAATTGGCATACAATGCGCACGCATGGAACGTGATGCAGACTACTTGCAAATTTGTCGTGTTGGTGTCCTTTGTGTCTGGTCTTGCCGTCGCAGCTTTAACCTCAAAAGCTGCAAAACATGTCCGTCCGTTGCCTTAATTTTACAGTTACAGGCTACTGAATCTCATGTCCTCCTCATAATCAAATCATATCGGAAAATGATTGCAAACTGTAGCTTCGACATCCTGCCACGGCTTTGGAGACATGGGAGGTGCACGGATACCAGGTGAGCTTCTGCCAGTTCTATAATGATTCTAGCGTATGCATCACGATCATCACGAACACAGGGCCCAGGCGACAAGCTTGCACATTTTTGCGGTATTGCCGTCCGCAGCCAGGGCAGAACGTCCTCCACAAGGCACCTTTAATCACAATCACTGCGTGGTTCACTATGCGCCCGGTCCTCCTGCAGGACCTTTTCTGTCACCTCACAGCTCAGTCACGGAACTCTGCTGAATTGTTCACCGCCACTTTTGCAGGCCTTTCCGAAGGCCTCCTGGATTTTCCCTTCAGCTCCAAAGGTCCTATCATGGTAGTTTGCCTTGAGTAGATTCAAGATTCAAGCACCGTCTGGCTGGAGCACGGCCTCTCTCGGAGGCCTTGAATGCGTCGCTCCAAGTCATCCAGCCGTGTCATGATTTGGCGGTCATCCTGCAACTGTCAGCGGAGACAGCAAGCCAGGCAAGCTCAGCAAAATCTACAAAAGTGTCCTCAACCTTCGTGCGGAACCATCGCCGGATGGCAGCGTCCTCCTCTAACCCAACCTTTCAGGACACAGGAGACAAAGCTGGCCGCATGCTTACTGATGCTAACACCGAGGCGTGACGAACGGTACATGTAGAGGGGCCGAATGACTGTAGCCATCTAAGCAGGGTGCGGCCGCCAACGATGTCCGTGGCGTCTCGGTGGCGCGCGGAGACCGAACCTCCCAGGAGCTGCGAAGATCTCATGGGAACGTCCCAGTAGTGAAGCTTCACCACCGCCTCTGCTCGTATCATCGATGAGCCTCATGGGAACGTGCAGCCTTCTCAGCCGGCTGTCTTCATGCCAACGTTAAGGAACACACTTGACTGCAGCAGCGTCGTCATCAGGCGCGAGCACTCAGACAAATACCTGGCATAACTCAGCTTCTAGGCCTTTAATGCTGCGTATGACCTCGTGCCGGGGCACCTGAACATGACCAAGAAGCTAAATCGATTACCTGTGCACACAACTCAAGAGCTGGAAAGAATTGCCAAGTCTGTGAGCTGGGATGGCTCTGGTGGTCCATTCCAGAAAAACTCACACTTCAGAACTTCAGCTTGATCCATTTTCTTTTGTCATGCCTAGCCCTCCCTGGCCGTGCCACTGTGATGCAACCAGCAAAGTGCAGTCGGGCAGCTGTCAGCAACCTTGCGGCAACGCGGATGCTTGCAAGGTCATTGAGGAGATGGTATGCGGTTCGGAGAAATCCCACCTTCTTGAAGGTCTTCAAGGCCTGCGTGACGGCTGTGCTCAATCTTCTTCTTCTTACTATCTTCAACTCCGCTCAGGGCAGGAACCCATGTTCGAGCCAGCACGCCAAAACAAATCATCATTGAAGCAGTGACATTATGCAGAGTCCAATGGCTGCCAAATAGCTCTTCTCTGCTGCTCGTCCGTGTGCATAAACTCAGGGCGCGGTGTCACCTCACTGCAAGGCGATGCAAAGCGCAATCGCTACGGTTGATTTCAGAACATTTCAGAGCATCTCAGAGACATGCCCGAAAGAGCTTCAGCACTCCGACAACAAAGTCGGGCAGGGTCAAGAAGTTGTGCCCCATTACCTGGGCTGTCCGAAGGAGGCCACGAACATGTGCGGACTATATCTGTAGGTCGGTCAAGTCACATCGATCTCTCTGAAGATGACCTCAGTGACTCAGGTGAGGGCTGTGAGAGCTGTGGGCTGAGCTAAGCTGAGACCGTTCCCAGCCGAGGCACATCAGCGAGGGCAGCACCAGTCCTGCCTTCCAGGGATGAAAGAACAAACATGGCCCAAGTGTTGCATGTGTAGCCGTTCACATGACAGCCCTAGTTGATGCTCTGTGCGTCAGCACATTGACTCACTAGTGCTTCAAGATTTAAGCCAGGACCTCCGAAGTAGTACAGCTTGTGCGTGCCGCGACACGTTCTTTTGCCTGTACACCTTGTTTGACTGTACAAGTGGAACTTCAAATGCTCTTGTTCTCCGCCTCAGCCATGCCTGTGATATCACCGGAGTTTGATTTTGCGTTTCTTGCGCGGGTCTGGGCACGCGGGTCGGGTCAGACTTTGCCGATTGTTCTCGATCGCAAAAAAAAACAGCCACATTGCGGATCCATGCTCGTTTCGGAACTGGCTCCCTTTCGGTCAAATGGTGCATTCATTGCATCGCACCGGATAAAGTCATTTTGCATTGGAGGCTGAATTAAAATCTATTGGAGCTTGGTTGCTGATCATGTACTTGCTACATTTGAGGACAGAGGGTGAAGCTGGGTGTTACTTTACGTTAAATCTTTGGAGCACTTTCGGGATCCGTTTGACCCCTGTTGCCCCGAAATTGTTCATCGCCGTTTCTCACCCTGGGACAAGCACACCCCGCCTTTTTGTCCGCCGCCAATCAGCCTCCGAAAGGCTGGGTGCACATCCTGAAGATCCCGGAAGTCATCAATCCTGAGATAACTCATGGCTTTGGTCGTTCCAACACCAGCTGGGAAGTCAAACAACTGTAGATGCAGCCTGCCGACGAGATGAATCGTTCTTTGCTTGTTCCGACCACATCCTTGGATGGAGACTATGAAGTCATGCAAAGGGTAGTCACGCTACTTTCACAAAGCCTGTGCCGTTTTCTGACTTCACTCCATGAAAGAGGAATTGCACTCAGCAAGCCAGGCAAGAGGTGTGACAGTATGCGACGAGACTAAGAAGGGTACCTCGAACATTTCGATGAGGCCAGTGACAGTCATCTCAGCAGATGCGCCTTGTTTGGCGCATTTGGCACATCGGACCCTCATGTGTCTATGCTGCACAACAACGACATCCTCAGAAGTCTCGGCACGGGCTTCAGCCACCAGCTTCTTCTGGTGCTTGGCGTTGCCCTCCCGCAGTGCTGAGATGAAGGTCCCCAACACCATCCTTAACACGGAGGTGTGGAGCCGCAAGGCTGAGGCAACAGACTCGTGAAGTCGTCTGTCTGCCAAGCTGCGGCCACAGCCAGCAAAGGCATAGCCCTGCATAGGTGAGGAGGATGACGCCTGCGACCTGCAGCTTTCCAACAGGAGCCAAATACTTTTCAAAGTCAGCTCTTCTATTACTATCATTTCATCCAGGTTCCGGCCTTGAAGCGCACACTCTCTGCCAGGAGAAGCTTCCAAACCATGTTAGGCCCCCAATAGACGAGCTGCCTCAGCTGCGACTGTGCTCAAGTATGCTCAGGTCATCTCAGGTCTGTATGGCCTCAAGGTGCAAATTCGCAGCTTCAGCTTCCTCCAATTTGCAAGCAAGGCACAGGGGTATCCTTGGAGCAGTGTAGAAAAAAAACAAACGGCCCTAAAGAAGGTTGAGCAGTCCAGTGACCGCAGAGCATATGAAAGTGCTAGGAAAAGCATGGAAAAGCGCACATGCCTCTTACCTTTGCTCGGCACACTATGTCATACATGTTGAAGAAACTGCTCGTCGGCAACCACCGTGACACTTCTGTGCATTTTTCCTATGTGATTCTGCTGCCAGATTCAGATAGCCTGTCCAAATTGAATGCAAATCCTTACAGTCCTAAAACTTGCAAGATCAAGAACTTGCTCATGTTTCATAACCAGTTGGAGCAGTGTAGGTCAAGACGCATGTTGAGGACCAGCAGTGACCCACCCATTCCTCGAAGAAGCTGTTCCTGAGCTTTGTGGAAAAGGCGTTCTCAGCACTCCTAAGAGGCCCCTGTCGGCGAGAAGCAATCTCCAAAGGATAAGAATCACCTGCATGCAGGCTGGCATTGTGAAAGTACGCCCGCTGTAGCTGCTGTAGCGCGATCGCTGGCTGTAAGGAATGAGCAGTCACTTGCTGCACAAGGAATGTGCGAAGAGCAGGCAAGTTGGACTTCCTGCTGCCTGCGCCATGCATCGTAGGAAATATTCCGAACTCTCCTGCCTGCTGCCACAATTGCTTTCATGAGAGGGTCCTGGCAGGCTTGAGGATGGGCAACCGACGTGCGGGAACCAGATATCCAAATGTGAACTGGATTTTACCCGTCCTCGATTGGAGCTGTTGGCTTATATCCTTCTGCCCCGACCACGACCTGATGGAACTTTCGACGAGCTTCTCATAAAGAGGGGAGACTGCTCTGACTGCACCCTCGCGCCAAGAATGAGAAACATCTTCCACGCGCACACGATTTGTTGCAATTTGAGTGGTTGTAACATGTGTGCCGAGACAAGTGGCTGTGAGCATCACTGCCGTGCACCATCCAATAGTGCCTGTTCTCTTGGGCGATATTTTGTTGCGGGCTAGGGAACACAGGGCAATGGTGCCATCTGAGTGGCTCCAGATGATCAACCTTGAAATTACATGAAAGTTCGGAGAGACCAGAGCAGCCACCCATTACATTGAGTGAGCATGCATCCTTGCGTTCAAAAAGGCATCCATGCCAATCGGGCCGTTGTCTCAGCCACCACTTGTGCGATCAATGGATATGCCCTGGCAGCTCAACCGCACGTGCTCGGCAAAGACAAGTCAGGTTATCAGCAGCGTGGACACGCCCAATGCAACTTCTGTTCATGCGACAGCGCTGTTGTGGGTTGTGAGTCATTAATTAGAGGGTTGCTAGAGCCGGCTTCTTGACCAAGTCCGAAATGTGTGCAGGCCAAATTGAATAAGTGGTGTTCTAGTCTTCTCCCCTCTCCACATGCTCCCCTCTTCCGCCCACTCTGGTCTGAGTTGGAGACTACCCACCGACACGCTGATGCATTTTAGACTTTGGGGTCCCCTCCCACCCCATTGCATGTTTGCAAAGTAGCTTCAAAACCCGTTGGGTGTCAAGCTCAGTATCAACGAGATGTCGGGGGTACAGGTCTGCAGGCACAACCATGGACAAACGGACTCCCAAGAGTAATGACGATTCTGGCCCAGTGGCCACACACCATCAGCAACCACGCAGCCCTTTGCGCTGCTTGCTGAAGCCGCACCAGGCTAGTTTTTACGGGGCGCTGTGAGGTTGTTATGAAAGCTTAACTTATGGGATTCATAGCGGCTTCATCTAGATCTCTGTTTGCCTTTATGGAACGAAACGTGATTTTTGAAGGTGCGTTTATGGGAGCGCTACACGCTCATAAGTCTGATGATGCTGTCCTAATGCAAGCTTTTTGGTGGGAGTGGTATCCAACCCTTTTCATGGATTTCTACGCATGCGGCCGGGGAAGGGCATCGTGCGCCGGCGGGATTGAAAGATTGGTTTTGTGTGCTACTCCCACTGAGACTGCTACAACCGCCCTGGAATGTCTGAACAGTGTCAATCCAAACTGTGCGCCGCTCAAGTGTTGCAGTCCTAGATTCATCAATCTCAAACTGTACTAATGGCATCTGATCACTTTTAATTTTCGTTGGGATGCAGGTAGAACCGCAAGAGCAGCGTAAGACACCCCTGGCCTGATCGAAGCCAGAACCCTGAGATATGAGGTGCCCGAGCAAAGCAAGTCATGTTCATAGCTCACTTCTGCTTGATGAATCTCAGCAAACGGACGGCTACTTGGCTCATAGAAGGCTGAGCGGCGAGAAAATGCGGCCCACTCTGAGGATGCGGAGCCTCATGATCTTTGAATCAGTGAATCACCGTGCGTGCAGCAGGCATGCTGATTACTGGGCCCTCCTCATGATGTTTCAGGAACATTGCGGTGGTCGAGACAGTCCACAACGTAGCCTTATACTCAGGCCGCAGCATCCGCACAGCTCTAGTGGACCTCACAAAACAGGTTGCATCAAAAACGCTCAATGGGAATCGAGATGAATCAAGAATCCACGTGATGCAGAGTGCGTGCTACCAGGGCTCAGGCCGAAGAATTCCCAGGCTGTTGAAATGCTCCAGGACAAACTCGTCAAAGAACGCGATTACGGAAATCTTGGCGCCATGCAACAGCAAGCGAATTCCAGCCTGGCCTCTACAAACGGCTAGGCTGCATCTCGACCCTCCACAGTCCAGCAGCCATGGCATGATCGACTGCATGTCGAATCCAAAATTGCTACTGGTCAAAACCATGTGCCCCGCGTGCACGTTCCTATGTTGTGGAACGGGCATGGAACGGACACCCAGCGCAATGTGAATTTTGAGATATTGCATTTGTTGGTCTGGAATGGAAGGGTCTGGATTGGGATGTGCGCCCGCCCTTGTTCCGGACTCTTCATCTTTACCGGTAGCCACATGGCCTAAATTCTGTTAAATACACTGGCTCAACTGGCTTTGAGAATCCTCGGCTTGAACGGCCTAGGCTCAGGAAACACGAGTGTGATAGGCCTCATGTGCTTTCGGTTTAGCAGAACTTGCGCCCTTCAGCCCCAGCTGCTAAAAAGAATGGATAGAAAGGAAATGCCAAAAACAACGTGAGCGGGAAACAAGCCAGTCTTGGACGAACCCCACATTAGGTGCTGGGAAAGATGAAGCAGGATGCTGCCTTCAAGGTTGCTATAATTCGACCGAGAAGCAGTCATGTCCAGCACAAGCCAGCCGTCATGGTAGAACCTTGTCTGTTGACTAGCTTTTGCATGCCTACAAGTGATGCTAGGGCATGGCAGGACTGCATCTTCCAGCAAATGAATTTGCACTGGATCAAGCCAGCAATCATTCAGACTTTGCCAGCTCGCAACCCCGAAGACAAAACGCATTAGGCCCCCGTAAATCCACAGGGCACGTCTGGCTGGGCCGAGCAGCGGTCGGACGGGGCAACCCAGAAAACCTGAACACCAAGTACGATGTGGACTCGTGAGCACGGGGTAAGACTGCAATGGGATCAAGAGCTTGTTTTAATGCTGGCCCGAACAAGAAACTCCGCTTGCAAGGCATGGCACGGACGACCACTTCAAAGACATACAAACCGATCAGGACTTTCATTGCTCCCTCAGTTGTGGAATCGAATTTCGTCTACAGCCCATGCAGTTCAGATCAGGTTGGCAACTTACAAGCGCAAGCACCCCGCAACGCAGGAAAGCCATGTCGCATCAATCGCTTCGCTAGCGCTGCGAAGGCTGCTATCCTGCGACTTCATCGGCCAAAACAGTTTAAAGCACAAACACGAGTTGGCGTGAAGCTTGCTGTTGATTCAAGGCCATCTCGCAGTTCAAAGCCTAGATGTGAAGTGATGTTCAACCTTCTGACTCTTCCAGCTCTGATTGGAACTCTGCCTATACTGTATCTCAAGTTCTCAAGCAATGCCGCGCATGCAGAGCATGCAGTGCCAGTGCGGCCTGGGGATTTCGAAGAACTCCGGCAGCCCTCGGGTCAACCAAACAGGTTCTGCGGAAAGCGCACGTTCAAACAAGAGCAGCCGTGAACTTGCTTCTGAGTGTCACATTTGCATGGATGACTACCTCAGTTAAGCGGGGGGATCTTTAGAAGGCGAGCCTTCCGTAACACATAATGTGTAAACTTACGTGTTTGCTTCCGGACTGCAAGGGTCAGCGTCAAGCCGGCCGCAAGATTGCAGAGCACCTCCACGGGGTTTTGACTCTCCCGTTAGTGTTGGGTCCTGAATCGCACCAACTTCAATCGGCTCCCCCTTTAGTTGAAGTCTTTTGTAAAAAGAGCTTGGGTAGTGCCTCCGAAGGTCGCGCATGTCGGCTCTCAGATAATGCATCCATTGGAGACCCACTTGATGTTGAGAACCCCCAATACAGGCAACTTCTGTTTACACCTGTAGTCACATGCGTACACAGCATGATGACATGGTACCCCATGTACCTATGCGTACATTGCCCGTAACATGCATAAATGTACTTTGTCGTCCCACTTGTATTTTGACTAGCGGCCTGCACCCCCGCATTTTGCATAAATCGGTAGCCTTGGCTGGGCAGAACTCGGAGTATTCAGGAGTCCTACTGATTCTTGCAGCGCGAGATGCAAAATCCCCGGATTCCGCGGTCAGCCTCTGGGAGCAAACGCAGATCATGGAGGGAACTATCCACCTGATTAATCTGATCCAAAGGCAGAGCTGAAACGGCCTCCAAAAACCTTGCCGTGTCGAGTCTTCGCTGAACTCAGCAGGCAACTAACTAGCAGAGATTCTGCTAGAACTGCTCTGTGCTAGCGACCCCTAGCTTTCGCTTAAAGGTGGAAGCTGACTGCATCAAGAGCTTGATGGGAGTGTCTGACATTCACGCTGAGAGACTTCGGGCGGCCATTAT